CCAGCAGACGTAAGAGGGTGGGGCTGCGTATACAGGACTGCCAAGCGTCTTCCAAGGGCAGTGTTGCTACATCACCGATGCTTTCCAAAGGTAGTTTCAACAGGAGCGCCGTACTCGTAACAACCTTGATTAATGCGCAACTGCTTTCAAATTATTTCCTATTCAGTATTCACGAATTGTCATACCATTCAATGCTGTACAGTTTGAGTTATTTACAGCAACATTAACTTAATGACAAATAAATGAAATAATTGATGTATTATTTTTACTGTATCGTTTATTACATACTTTGGGGCACACGGTACCATAGTTGGTTGAGGCACTATGCTTCAAGCTGGAATGTTGCGTTTTCAAGTCCCAGTGAGGTGAATCTTTTCAATTTACCTAATCCTTCCAGCATGACTATGGTCCTTGGGTCAACTCAGCCTCTAACAGAAATGAATACCAGAAATCATCCTTGAGGGTAAAGGGCAGCCGCTGCCTAAGGCTGAGAGCCTTACCGCCATTTGTGAGCCGACTCTCTAGAGAAAATGTGGGAACCTCAACGTCTCACAACCCTATATGCCTCCACGGCTTGTTACAGGGATAGCTTTACCTTTCATTTATTGCATACAGATTATTCTATCCTGTTTTTTTTCATTTTTGTACTATCATCTGAGTAATTCTCTTTATCCTAATTATCTCGTAATGATGATTTGCTGTAATGTATGAATGGTGAAAAGTGGGAGAGATTCACAGTTGCAGTATATAAGTATTTCCCAGTCCTTTTGTTTCTGCAGAACCCATATAGTCTGAAAAAGTATTTACATGACCTCAGACCAAAACAAAATACAGATATAAAATTTTGTCTCAACCAGAACAGGATAGATTGTAGATTGAAGGGTTGGTACATACCATGACCAGCTTCAGTCTGTTGTGCATGCACTTTCTGAGAATCACGTAGCTGCCTTCCATGCTTTGGATGACATGCAGCACTTTTCTTGCTGCAACATTTAGACAATCGCTTAGCTTCATGAAGTGCAGCCCCCCNCAAAAAAAAAAAACAGCGTGGCCTGTAGTCCACAAGCGAACTATATCAACCGAGTGACCGCCACTTGCCGGCGAAGTTAGTACCAGTCCAAAGTGATAAAATTACTAGAATCTCACTGTCACATATGACCTGTGAGAAGCTGTTCTGCCTTTGTTATGGCACCTTTCTTACGTGAGACTGTTTACCAGTTCGTCTGGAGAGGAGGTGGCTTTTTAAGTGACAGTTCCTATGAGTGTTCACACAACTCAGCTGGTTCCTGTTTAGTCCTAATAGTTCCTTAGTCTCTCACAGATGGTTCTGTGGGAAGCCCTTCACATAAAACATGACAGGATGGCCTTTGTATGATACAGAGAAGAAGTGTACCAGGGATAGCTCAGTCAGTACAGTGATTGTCTTTGGGCTGGACGAGGAGAGTTTGATTCCTGCCAGGAATTTTGGAGGTATTTCTGATCAGGTCAATTATGTTTGTAGTCTAGTGATAAGAATTAAAAAATAATAACCAAATTTTTTTCCATGAATTTAAGAAACTGAGGAATGTATTTGTAAATACTATATTTTTATATTCATTATTAATCTGTTTAAAGTACAATTAATGTGATGTTTTGCAGTTGATCATGACTGTCAAGTGATGCAGTGTACAGTAACAATGAACTGCTATAAAATCAGTTGACCAGACTAATGGCCCAAAGAGGAATGGAAAAATCATTAGTCAGATTTCATACTAACAGATAAATTGGTATTAAATGTGTCCATGGCTTTTATTAGAACATTGAGCTGTATGTTATCACCAGCAACAGATGTTTTTATCGTATGTATCTTCATGTTGAAACTGAGTTATGGCTTCCTAGTTTCCACATGAATTCCATTCTTTTCCATAAGAAACTTGTTTTCAGGTTTAGTCTTGCCACTGTAAGTCTAGACTTTTTATTTGGAAGGTGCCTTGTTTGAGGCTTGGGATGAGTTAGTAATTGGAGAGTATTGTCTTCTAGTATGTTACACCATGCAATGTGATAATAAGTTCACAAATGTACTGGAACAATATGTGGCTTTCATTTTCTGGGCTGAAGAGTGAGCCAAACAAGCAGATCACCCTAGTTGCTTGGCCAACCCTGAAGATGGAGGTCCTAGAAGAATTAGGTGAGCAGATGAGGAGCAAATACAATGATCAGCTTGCTGTTTGCTTGGCTTATTATTCAAGCCTGAAAATGGAAGCAACACTTTCCTCTGAAACACTGGTAAATGTTTACCAGACTGCATGGCGTCACATCACAGAAGATAGTATTCTTCGTGTTACTGCTGCAGAAGCCTCAAATATCACAGAGTTATTCGTTGTCCTGATTTAGGTACATTATGTTTTCCCTCAATCAATCCAGGATAACAATTGGAATGGTAACTTAAAGTAGGTCATATCCGCCTCATTCACCATTTGGGATCATTTCTCCATTTCATTTTATCCTATATAAGCATGAAGGTGAAACAGTGTTATTTAATAATACAAAGATCAGTCATACCTGGTCTTGAGTTCTGCATTTTTAATCTCTGTAGTATCCTGGTTTTCCTCAGTACCTCAAGGCAAAAGGTAATACAGCAGGTGCAGTCTGTCTGTTATCAATATGAATTTATTTCTAAGTCTCTAATGTACAAATTGATCATAAGTTAGTTGTAAGCAAAACTGATTTTCTTCAAGTTTTCCCAGTTCAGGAAAGCTCAATGCAGAACATTTAATTATTAGAAATGAAATTTTATATGCTCTTATTGTTGGCTTGTCATATTTATATGTGTGCCTGACTTTAGGAGTCTTATGTGGAATTGTACAGAGCCAGAAATGGAAATATGACACTTGCTAGACTAACATTATCTTACGGTAGTAAATTATGGGGGGCAGGAAATTATAAGAGAAGATGATATTGTCAGAAATGTGTTTCATGTGGAAGACTTCAGGACAGGTATCCTTTTTGAACTGTAAGAAATTAAATCAGTTCCATAAGCAACAGAATTTAGTGTAACACTGCATGCTGATGAGAAGAGATCTGACAGGATTAAAAAAAAAAGTGATCTTAAAATATCAGCCAACAGGAAAATTAGTTTTGAGAAGACTCATGTTATGATGGAACTATCCTGTTATGCATAACATCCATAGCATGTCAGAGTACTAGAAAGTATGTTTCTGAGGACGTGGAAAAGGTAATTTCTCTCTGACCTCACTGCCCATGTTAACACAAATTCCTGATAAGATGGTATTTCCTTCTTCATGGTTTTGCTTTGGGCCATTTGTATTTTTGTATGAATTCAGAATAGGAATTTTACACATTGATATATATTTTTTAATTATATGTTCAAAGCTTAATACTTTTAGCCAGCAAGATACATGTTTGGATATGTGGAATTTTGAGTCCCATGATATGCAGAATATTACTTAGTTCCTTGTGATATAGATGTATGCGACTGTGGTTCTGAAACTGTTTTCATTGTACAAACGCTTTTATAAAGGTCTAATTTTATTTTAGCCCTATTAATATGAATGTGGGATTTGTTGCAAAATGTACTAATCTTTTTGTTTAAAAGTCAGCTCACAAGGGGCTTGCTTCAGTATACAGGGTTTGTCCAAAAAGTAATGTCAGTGAGTCGATTAAAAACATTTATTGATTAGATCGGTACAACACATTAAAAGGCTTCAAAATAGGCTCCTTCTGCGTCAGTACACGCTTCCAGCGAGATTTCCAGGCATCGAAGGTGTCATGGTAGGCCTCCTCCGGAATGTCCTTTAGAGCCTTGCTGCAAGCCTCTTTGACTTCATCTACTGTCCCAAAATAATGTCCTTTCATGGGAGTTTTCAAGCGCGGAAACAAAAAGAAGTCTGGGGGAGCCACGTTAGGACTGTAGGGCGGCCGGGAAACCGTTTGCACCTTTGAATCGGTCAGGAAGCGGGTCACGAGGAAGGCGGTGTGGGCTGGCGCATTTTCATGGTGAAGTTTGCAATCGTCCATGATGTCGGGCCGGATGCGATAAACCCTTCGTTTGAGTCTCTTTAGCACTTCCATGTAGAATTTGGGGTTGATGGTTGTACCATGTGGTACAAACTCATGGTGGACGAGCCCCCTGATGTCAAAGAACACAATGAGCATGACCTTAACCTTTGACTTGCTCATTCTTGGGTGAGGGGATGCTGAGGTGTGCCACTCGGCACTTTGCCTTTTTGTCTCGTCACCTGTGATGACATTGTCTAAAAAGTGAGGGTGACTTTCACACAAGTCCAAAAGTTCTTGGCACGTTTCAACTCTGCGTGATATTTGGTCATCCGTTAACACTTTGAACCAGCTTTGCGCACACTTTTTGCATCTGCAAATTGTTCGTCACAATCTCGTGAACGGTACTTTTTGGAATGTTTAATGTCTGTGCCATTAAACGAACACTCAAACGACGGTCTGAGTTCAAAAGTTCTCTCACACGCGTCACATTTTTTCGGTGGTGCTTGTTGATGGCTGTCCAGCCATCACCGACCTCTTCACGGCCTTCTAAAAAGGCCTTGTGCCACCGGTAGACTTGACGTTCTGACAAACAATCATCACCGAAGGCCGTCTTTATCACGGGAAAAGTTTCCACTGCAGACTTGCCAAGTTTCACACAAAACTTGATGGCAATCCTTTGTTCCAAGGAGCGCTGCATTGCGGCTTGCACGGGAGACAAAAACGAGTTTCACGGAAAAGCCTTTCATCACTCTCAGGAAGTTCGGAGACGACTAAGTGACCGCGCGTTCATAAGCTGACTTCCCAAAAAATGGTAAAAGGGGTTTTCGCTGTGTTAAGGTGTTGTGCAGGTCAGTGAATCTGAATCTTCTTTACCATCACTGTCTTATCTTCTGGAATTCCTCTGCAATTTCCCTTGCAGAGAAAATTATATATTTTAAATTGTTATGAAAGAATCATTGGTATTTTTTAACATGTTTATTTACACAAAAATCCTCAAAGAAACATTTTTTGGTGAATACATTATATTGAAATGTGAAAATTCAGAAAAATAATGAAGAAAAACTTTAAGCTAGAGAATTATTTTGGTAATAATAAGGACAATGAAGAAAATATTGCTAATAATCTATAACAGTTCAACAACAACAAAACGACAGCAATAAATGTTTTAAGTTTTTATGGTTATATTGTGATTTTATGAATATGTGAATTATGTGAAATTATGTACTGATTTTGAATCTGTTTCATATTTCCTTAGACCCTCAACTCAAAAGTGACAAACTTGCATCATGTTTTAAGCACTTAACATTAAGCTATCATTGAGAAAAACTAATTTTGGTACAAAACACTTCATGCTGTATGCTTGGAATCCTCATACATTCTTTATAGATGTAAAATTACATGCATAGAGGTTTCTCATTTTATTACAAACAACACAGTTTTCTTCAGCTTTCACTGAACTGAGTAGGTCATATTCTCTCAGCAAGAACTCGTGGTGATTTGATGCTTTATACATCTTCGTCCAGCAGCTTGAAGGCATATAGGTAGTCTTCATATAGTATACAGGGTGTTTCACGACTTTAGGGCATAACTGCAGGAGGTGATTTCCTAGGTCTTTGTGATCAAAGCACAGTTTCAGAACCACTCATAAAATGTGTAGTGACTTTAAATTTATATTTAAAATAGCAGTAGTAAAATGTACTTAGACATGGAAGAGAGTTAAAAATAACACTTTAATTGGATTTATTCCGAAGTGGTTACTGATAAGTATTTATACACTAATATTAACTTGTTAAAATTATCCATTGTATATATGTTAGTGCTATAACATGAAGTGTAATGACATTGTAAATACATTTCACTGATTGACAGTACAGTGTTAAGAAGAGCAGTGTTTTTACTGACGTTTTACAGTAGTGTAAAGCCCAGTTAAAATTCAGTGGGAAGTCTTCTTGTGCTGTGGACCATTTCATTCGTTGGGAATTGTGCAAATAATTTCCATTTACTTGCACTGTTTTTCTACTCTTTGGACTTGGCAGTTGGCTGGGTAGGGCATGAGGTTCCAAAATTAATGAAATCAATCGCACAGAATTAATTTACAGAAAGTTTTTGCTACTTTCCATGAAACTTTTTGTTTCCCTGAATATATCTTGAAAGTTCATAAGTGAGGTTACTAAAGGTTATTATTGTATTTTATATTACAGCAATAAAACGTTTTGTCACAGGTTATAATCTTTCAAGAACTTCCATACTTAACTAAAATGTATGTAATACTAAAACAAATTTTTAGGATAAACAGAAGCTTTGTTTTTACTACTGTTTTTTGACAAAATGGCCAGTGGGATATATTGTAGTTTCTGTCTCTTAAATTATCAGTAACAATTATCAAACAGCAACACCACTATTGGTCTACAGATGCTGTTCATATCACCATTTACTTTTCATATTACAGTACATATGATAGCTATTCATTAAGCTAATCTGGAAGTTGTGTGCCAGTACCAGCCAAATGTAGTGCAAATTCACTCATCACAAAATGAATGTAGCACACTGAACATTGCAGTACAGAACATGGCCTCTGTTGAAATGTGCTGTTCGTTTGTTTGCAATGCCTTTTCAATACACTGCTTGCTTCTTTTCATCATATGTTTTTTATACAGACCAAAATGTAGAACATGTGTTAGATATGTCAGTTTGCATTTCATTTACATGGAAATGGCATTAGAATAACAAACCAACAGGCACTGTGTTTAATGTATCCCATGTCCAATGGCAGATCATTCTTGTTAACCATGTTAGCATAGTTGACACCTTGAAAAATAAAATGAAAATTATT